ATAAAAATATAATTTGAATCAATTTGCAGTTTTCATGTTTAGAAGTTCAAGTACACAAAAAATAAACTGACTCGATATCTTTATAATTTTTTTTCTTCGTTACCTAAGATATAAAATTAATAAATAAGTTGATTTTACTTTATTTTGGATCTGCATAATATGGTAAAATTATTCATTTATAATTCCTTTTTTTGGTGGGTATTGATTTATATAATTCAATTAAATCTAATTGAGCTGAGTTGATTTGATTTAATTGAACGAGGAAGGTTATATTTACAAACTTTTTGTTTACAAACTCTTACAAATTATACTATGTCTGACCGTTAATACACTCTTGAACAGAGTATTACTGATCAGACATAATGTAGTTTGTAAGTTGGTAAAAAAAATTTGTCAATATAACCCTACTTTAATTGAATTATATGAATCAATCAGTGATTAGATTTATGCAGATTTTTTTGTCAATGTAGCTATAATAGCCCATCTTAATTAATTAGTAAATCAAGTGTAATTAATTAATTAAACATGTTTTAGTGAGTGAAATTAAGTATAAGGCTTAATTAAATGAATCTGAGTCACTTTGGAGTTAAAAAGTGTACTCAGTGAAAATTAAGGGGTATAAATGGGTACTAGCAAAAGTACCCAAAATATAAAAATAAAAATAGTAATATTCCTAGAATAATATTCCAGACTTTTGGGTAAAGTTTGGTAATTATTGGAGTTGAATAGATAGACGAACCAATACCCGCTTAAAGCCACTTAACCTATGTTAAGTGACTAAAAGCCAAAATGAACCCAAACCCCCCAAGCAACCCGTCGAGCATCAGAGAAGAGGAAAGGAAGAAGGAGAAAGAAGAAGAAGGGAAAGGAGGGAGGAAGAGGGAGTGAGAGCAAATCTTAACCGATTGGAGTGATTCAAAAGCCTAAATCACTCTAAATCTTCCCCTCTTTCATAATCCTAGCTTTGTTTTGAGTGGGGAGCATTGTGGAGAGATATTACCTCTCAAAAATTCGGCCCTTTGGTGAAAATTGGGGTTTTGAGAGTTTCTACCTCCATTGAAGCTTGAGGAGCCATCAATCCTTGGTTGTGTGACCATTGGTGGTAAGATTCTAACCCTTGAACCTCATGATTCCTTGAAATTTGCATGAGTTAGGGTTTGTGAATAGTAAATTGGGATTTTTATGAAATGTAGTTGAATTAACTATGTTCTAGGAAGAATGGAGCTTAGAGCATGTTATGGAAAATGCTAGGAATGTCATTTAATCGGTGGAAATGAGCCTAGATAGTCATTTGATAATTGTTCATAATATTGGAAAATTCATGCTTGGATTGGTTAGTATTCTAGCATGTTGAACAACTAGTGAGTTGAATGATTGATTGGATCCTTGTGATGTCTAGGATTGAGACATTTGGACCAACCGTGAGTGATCAACCATTGGAGCAAGCTATGGAGCTTGAATAGCTCATTGGAATTGGTAAGCTCATACTTGTGTTGTGCTTTGAATTGAGTAATTGATGGTTGATTGTGAAATACTCTTGGATGCAATGTGTTGATTGCATTACACCATGTGTAGGTGTATGTTTGTAAAAGTTGATTGCTGAAACTGTTGGTGAAGAACAAAGGTTGACTGAAGCATTGAGGTAAGCCTTCGGACCTTGGGTGTAATTCCCTTGACTGTTCTACCAAGCCCTGAAAGGGTAGAGGTTGTGATTGTGTATATAAATGCAATAAAATAGTGTAATGCTTTGTTATACGTATGTGTATGCATTTGGTGTGGCATAGGATGGTGTTTCCCTATGTGGGTATGTTGCATGACGATGCGTAAATCATACATGGTAGTTAGCTGGCCAGTAGGACTATTTGCATCTGAGTTTCCTTAGGACAGCTTGAGAGCTCGAGGGATTTCTCCTGGAGATGTATTGCACTTTGCATAGATATGTATTTACTGCATTATTATTGTTATTGCTATTACACTGATATGGAACTGTGGGGTGGAGAGATGCTCCAAGGACCCCTGGTTTACTGGATATATTCGTATATCTCACCCCGTGTTGTGGGGACCCCCTTTCAGGTAAGGATGCTGCAGGAGCCTCTGGTGGCAAGTGGCCATATCTGGATTATGCATGAAATATGGCATTTCTTTGAGTTTATGCATGCCTTTTGTAGTTGACATGTATGGGATTTTATTTTGAAAGCCCATGGTCATTTGTATATCTTGATTCATTGGATGAACTTAGCCTATGCTCATGCCTTTGGTTACACCTTTTGTTGATGGGAGCCAAGGGAATGATCATAGTGTTTTGTAAGCTAAGTTCTATGATTTGTAAAGGATATGTAATGTAAATGATGCCTACTTGAAATTCAATATATGCATGCTTGTTATGTATTGAGTTGTTGAATTGGTTGGGCTGAAAATCAATTAGGTACCCTTTTGTTTAAACTGGCAAACGATGAGAAAACAAAGGTCATGCTGCCCAAATTCTAGCTAAATCTCATGAGGAGAGGTTGGATGAGTGCTAGGATTTAGTTTTGGGGCATGGACAATTGGGGTTTGTAATGGGGATGCATTTTCCCCTAGGCTTGGACTTGAGAAATGTGGGAATTGGAATTCCCTGGCAGCGCGCTTAAGCGCCCAGGAGCGCGCCCAAGCGCCCTGCTGCCCCTGCGAGTGCCAATGCATTCTGCCTCCTTGCGCTGGAGCGCCCAAGTGGGGGCTTAAGCGCCCAGGATTGCGCGCTGGAGCGCCCTGGCGTGCGCTTAAGCGCCCTTTGCTGCAGAAAGTTGGGTGGCTTACTGCCCCCTCGTGGTTTAGCGCCCAGGGTGGGGCTTAAGCGCCCAGGGTTGCGCGCTTGAGCGCCCTGGTCCGCGCTTAAGCGCCCTTCGCCACTGAAGGAGGAGATGCTTCTGTCTCTGCGCGCTAAAACGTCCCCGTGGGAGCTTGAGCGCCCAGGATAGCGCGCCTGAGCGCCCTGTTGCGCGCTTAAGCGCCCATCCACACTGGAATGCCTGATGCTTACGGCCTCCGTGCGCTAAAACGTCCCCTGATGCTTAAGCGCCCTTTACACGCTGACGAAGTACGGTGCACAAGAAGATTATAAATGATGGCACGCTACCAAAAATGAACAACAATATATGTATGCATATTACCGATTCCGATTCCCAATCCCATCTTCGAAACCCAACTTCTACCATCTGCACAAATTGAGAAGCGAAGGAATTATTTTGTTTTGACAAGCAATCGTAGATATAAGCATATACGATCGAGTTTAAACAAAATCAACTGTAAAAATTAGTCGTGAAAAGTCGAAGTAAGCCAGACCCAGGATCCTGAATAGAGAGCAACTGTTTAAGATGTTTTGTATTTGAGACCTACCTTTCCAGCAATAGAATTTTCCTTCGTTGTTAAGTTGGCATTGGCCTCTTTGATTGCGAAGACATTTGTGGCAATCATCAGATAATTGTACTTGAATTAAGACCTGTGGAGATAGAAAATCAAAGGGGTCGCTAGTAGACTGGTCTCTCACTGGAAGCTGAATCGTTGAACACGGTGCTAAAGAGCTTGGCAAGTTGAAACCAGGAGCTTTTGCAGTATTTAGAGGGCTATAGTAGTAGATATTGTAATCGGAGCAGTTTGAGTAGTTATATAATTTGGGAATGGTGACAGTGAGAGAGTGATTGCATCTGAACATAGTTATATTATATTTGATGTAGAAAGAACCCAAAGGAGAGGAGGGAGGAAGACTATAATTGTTGAAGGTTTTGCAACTTCTGGATAGCAAATTCTTCCGTAGAACATCATCTGCGATCGTTATGGTTTTAGAATCCACGCTTGTAACAATAGGAAACCGTGTTGTTGTTGTTGTTGTATTGCTCAGTTGAATGGTTTTGGGAGCCGTGGGATCCTTAAGATCACAGCCATGTATAGCCAATACGCCACAGTCTTGGCGTTGAGTGATTGTGAAAGGGAAACTGATCTGCCCAAGATATCCACATTCAAAAGAGGGTGGACACTTTCCATCGTGAGCTGAAACAAGAAGAAGCAGAAGCTGGGACAAAATTAATGATTTGAACAATAAAAGGAAGGCCATTATGAATGTTGAGATTTGTCAGGGGAGGATAATTAAGCCCGAGTGGGAAACAATGACATTAATGGAAAGCATGCAATATATTTCATTATGTTTAGTGGCTGCTGAACTGAAATGTTTGTTGACTTGGAACTGGACTGCGAAGACTGGCAGAAACGTATTCGGAGGTGGCATTGGTCCATTTTTGGAAATTTAACCGAAAAACCAACCAACGTGCTTATTACTCCACCTCCGTTTAACATTAGCCTCAATAAAACGTAATTCTTTTTCTCAAACTTAAATACACCAGAATGCCTGTTTGCTTTTGGTTACTTTCACGTACAAGAGTTTTTCAACGTAAACTTCACTCTCAAGTATATGTTTTTCGGAAAGCAAAATAAGCTAATTATATAAACTGGGATTAAACGTCATATTTCTGTTTGACGTTTGCCTATCTGAGGCTATATGCTTACTCCAAGTCTCCAAGCCCCAAAGCCACGACAGTCAATATAATGTACTCACTGCTCGGGAAAAAGAAATTGCCTATCATCAAGTTTTATTAGGGACTTGTGTGGTAATTAGAGACCCTTTGTGACACAGACAAAAGCTCAACTCCAGAATGCTTCCATTGAGGGAGAGGAGTTGCTACGTCAAGGGAAAAAAAAGAAAGAAATGAATTTGTGGAATAGAGGAGCCGGTGACATGTTCACTGTAACAGCCCCAAAACCCTGTAACATGATATTGTCCGCTTTGTCCCGCGCACAAGCACCGTCGAGCTCACGGTTTTGTTTCTTGGGACACCCCACAAAAGGCCTCACACTAGAAGAGGTATCCACACCCTTGTAAGGCATGCTTCGTTCCTCTCTCCAACCGATGTGGGACATTACATCCTCCCCCACTGGGAATACAGCGTTCCCGCTGTACACATCGGTCCAGGGCCAGGCTCTGATACCAAATGTAACAGCCTGTAACATGATATTGTCCGCTTTGTCCCGCGCACAAGCACCGTCGAGCTCACGGTTTTGTTTCTTGGGACACCCCACAAAAGGCCTCACACTAGAAGAGGTATCCACACCCTTGTAAGGCATGCTTCGTTCCTCTCTCCAACCGATGTGGGACATTACATCCTCCCCCACTGGGAATACAACGTTCCCGCTGTACACATCGGTCCAGGGCCAGGCTCTGATACCAAATGTAACAGCCCCAAACCCTGTAGCATGATATTGTCCGCTTTGCCCCCGCGCACAAGCACCGTCGAGCTCACGGTTTTGTTTCTTGGGACACCCCACAAAAGGCCTCACACTAGAAGAGGTATCCACACCCTTGTAAGGCATGCTTCGTTCCTCTCTCCAACCGATGTGGGACATTACATCCTCCCCCACTGGGAATACAGCGTTCCCGCTGTACACATCGGTCCAGGGCCAGGCTCTGATACCAAATGTAACAGCCCCAAACCCTGTAGCATGATATTGTCCGCTTTGCCCCGGCGCACAAGCACCGTCGAGCTCACGGTTTTGTTTCTTGGGACACCCCACAAAAGGCCTCACACTAGAAGAGGTATCCACACCCTTATAAGGCATGCTTCGTTCCTCTCTCCAACCGATGTGGGACATTACATCCTCCCCCACTGGGAATACAGCGTTCCCGCTGTACACATCGGTCCAGGGCCAGGCTCTGATACCAAATGTAACAGCCCCAAACCCTGTAGCATGATATTGTCCGCTTTGCCCCGCGCACAAGCACCGTCGAGCTCACGGTTTTGTTTCTTGGGACACCCCACAAAAGGCCTCACACTAGAAGAGGTATCCACACCCTTATAAGGCATGCTTCGTTCCTCTCTCCAACCGATGTGGGACATTACATCCTCCCCCACTGGGAATACAGCGTTCCCGCTGTACACATCGGTCCAGGGCCAGGCTCTGATACCAAATGTAACAGCCCCAAACCCTGTAGCATGATATTGTCCGCTTTGCCCCGCGCACAAGCACCGTCGAGCTCACGGTTTTGTTTCTTGGGACACCCCACAAAAGGCCTCACACTAGAAGAGGTATCCACAACCTTATAAGGCATGCTTCATTTCCCTCTCCAACCGATGTGGGACATTACATTCACTAACCATAAAATGAAGCCGTTTGATCTAATACGAATTGAGGGCTGGGATGGGATATTAAAAGACCTAGCCTAAGTACATGTTTGAGACGTTTTTTATTTAGCTTCTCTCGTAAAGGTTTTACAAAAGTTGTTATAATAAAGAGTTTTTTTTTATATAATAAAAAAAAGTCAAAAGCCAAAAAATTATAGAAGGACTTTTTTTTAAGTTGTATCAACTTTTTTTGAAATTTGTGATTTTTTTTAAATAAACAACTTTAAATAACTTTTAAACTAAAATTTTTATATAATCATCAAACAATTTATAACTTTATTTTTAATTTTTTTTTTTATAGTTTTAACTTAAAATGAAAAAAGAAATGCCAAACACACTCTAAGATCCAAGATTAGTGCTTTTGTCCTTATAAGAAGAAAAGTTAAAAAAAATATCTCCTAAAAAGCCAGTAAGCGATTACTTGTGTCGTTTTGGCTCTTGTTAATTTAATTTACCTCGCCTAAAAGTTATTTAGTTCGATAGATATCAAATCCTGTTTTTGAAAATCCATTCAAAGTATTGGTTCTGTGAGTATAGGAGAAGATACGAGGGATTAAGGTGAAGAAGAATAGGATTTCAGTGTAGAACTCACAAATATTCTTAAAAGTTGGTCCGAAGGCTGCATCATAAGCATCTAAAATTAAAGGAAAAAGAAGACTCAAAGAGACCATTTGCATTTTGCAGTGTTGTGGAGCTTGACAACACCAAAGAATCTAAAAATGATCACTTACACATGTGAATGCAAATACAATCTTCGGATATACGTGCTTGAAAGTTGAAACAGCGCAGATAATTATAATTCAGATTGCATATTACATTTTTCAAAAGAAAAATGACTGTACAAACTTCTACCAAATATTTCATATCTCATATTAAACTAAACAGCAGAACCATGATTGGCATTCTCGAGACTTGAGAATGTAAAGTAATTTTTACGAAGTCTCAGATGTTTGAGTGGAGTAATGTGCTGGAGATGTTGAAGGAGAACGCAGAAAAGGTTTAGGCGGCACGTTCAAGGAGTCCAGGCTTCCTTCTAGCATCTCAACCACTTTACTCATTGATGGTCGAGTTGAAGGGTCATTCTGTATGCACCATAAGCTCACCACTGTCATCTTTCTCACGCTCTCTCTGTCACTTTCATTCTTGATACACCGCAAACCAAAATCCTGATTTAATTCAAGTTTCTTATAAATCCAATGGGGAAAATATATTTCACTAGAACAATCAAGTTCAACATTTTTATTGTGTCTTCCTCCAACCATATCTAGAACCAACATTCCATAACTGTAGACATCAGACTTATGAGACACCCCACCGAAATTCCTAGAAAACACCTCAGGAGCAATGTATCCAACAGTTCCCCTTGTACCCAATAAGGACACAATACTCTCTTTTCTTGGACATATCTTAGCAAGTCCAAAATCTGAAATCTTTGGGCAGAAATTTTCATCAAGTAGAATGTTATGAGGTTTTATGTCAAAATGCAAGATTCTAGTATTGCAGCCTCTGTGCAAATAGTCTAATCCACGAGCAACACCAATGACAATCTCATACAAAGTTTTGCAATCCAATTGCCGACCAACTAGCATGGAGTTTTCTTCATATACGAACTTCTCGAGGGATCCGTTAGGCATGAATTCATAAATTAGAGCTCGTTTTGAACCTTGGAAACAAAACCCCACAAGAGTGACAATGTTAACATGAGATGTCCTGCTAATGCTTGCAATTTCATTGATGAATTCCTCCCCAGTTCCTTCAAGTTTACTTAAAAGCTTGACTGCAACAAGACTCCCATCTTCTAGCTTTCCTTTAAACACGCTCCCATATCCTCCCTCTCCTAATTTGACTTTGAAACAATTAGTGACTTTCTTTATCTCGGTGTAACTGTACCTTCTTGTTTGAAGAGAACCATGTTGCTTTAGAAAGCGCTCAATTATCATTTCATCGGTAGGACAATTTTTATTCCAAAAGCAACGAGATGTTAGGTTGAAAGGCTTTCTTCTGAAGCAGTAAACCAAGAGCAACAGCAATGCAACAGCAGCGGATGAAGCAGCTAATAAAGTTAACAATAAATTTAGAAGGATGAAGCAGCTTATTTTTTGGAAAATTCTTTCTTGTTTTTCTACTTGGACATAACTCAAGTAATCGGAGTGATTTGAATAGAAGGTATTGATACTAGCTAGGAAGTAGAAAGATCTATTAAGAGTAATAATAATAAAAACAATCTGAGTAAATAACATTGAAAGAAGGGTCATGTTTATCTCATTTTACATGTAATAAATAACTTTCTTACCCACAAAAAAAGAGGTTGGATCCTATCACTTTTTTTTCTCTCCTCTTAATTATGGATCTCACTTATACTTTTATTTCTACAACATGAAATAAATTTTTTCCTACAGCATAAAAAAAAATATCCCTTCAAAGAAAAATGAACTAGAGAAATGAATGTACTTCAAATTTTTTTATTTTAATTATATTATTTAGTACAAAAGTTTTTAAGCTAAAGCTGCTATGAATATTTAATAATTAATTGACTATGGTTGAATAGAAAATTAAAATTAAAAAAATGATTGAGAAAACACGATTTTTTTGTTTTTAATTCGCAAACCATTTCGCTAACAATAAATCTAAAGTCTAAAATGGTTTACCTGTTGTCAGGATAAGCGTCATCGGCCTCTTTCCAGCTTTGTCAGACAGGGGCCACAGGACTGCGGCGCGAGGCACAAAATACAATACAAATAAAAAGAAAGCAAAATCCACACCAAAAAAAGAAAAAGAAAAAGAAAGCAAAATGAAACCAATCGGTAGAAAGACATTATTATTATTATTTTTGCAGGCAAAGAAAGGAATTATTTAGATCATCCTTCAAACCCAATTATTTTTTTGAGTTTGTATTTGTCATTTAACATGATATAATAAATTTTTCTACACACACAATATTTTGTAGAGTCCATATTTTTTGAAGAAAAAAAAAAAAAATTACAGCACGCAAAACGAATCTCTATAATATTACAGAATCACTTACAACATAATCAACATTAATCAGGTCACTAATTAAAATGAATTTACTAAAAAAAGAACATAATTAATAGTAATCATATTGAAATTTACAATGCTTTAAAAACCATGTTAGAAAACTAAGTTGTTAATATTGAAAATTATAAACATTAATCTGAAATAGTAATTTAGATTGAATATATTTATAATAATTACAATTATTAATTATTGAAATCGTAATAATTGTTTTAATAATTATATAATTGCAGATCTCATGTTAATGAATAAAACCTAAGAAAAAACATATTAAGTTGATTTAATAACTATCAAAAAAGTAAATAAATAGCCATTACCATTTATTGAATTAGTTAAATATTATTCATGCTATTAAATCTTTTATACAAAATAATTTATTAACTTTACAATGTTGCAAAAAATGCTTTAGGACAATATAATTAATGTAATTGGCATGATTTAATAGTAATTCATGTTTTTATTAGTATTTGGGATGGCTGGAACGCGTCACAAAAACTGCAGATGTGTCACACACGTGGCTTAGTCTCGCCAACTGACATGGCAGGACTGGTACATGTCACAGCAGGTGGCGGGATACGTGGAAAACACGTGACATGGACTGACGCGATTGGTTGGGCTTCCTACGTGGCTTCTGATCTCGTCTTTCTCACTGGCGGTACTTATCTACGTGTTTGACTAGACCATTCTTTTCAAATGTGTTTTAGGACGGAGATACATTTGAAAAATAACATTAGTACGGATTTTTTTCCCTGTTTTTAGATCCCTCCCTACTTAACGATTATAAGAAATACTTAACGATTATAAGAAATGAGATAGACACAAATTTACTCGTAACCAATTTTCGCATTAGAGACTAACCTGAACCACAATTGGAAGCATGAACTCCGTCAGCGCAGTAGCACCTGAAAGTGTATATATCAGAATCGAAGCCGCACCTCCCTCCGGTGCTCCTGCACAAGCTGCAATCACTGGCGATCCAATTCAACCAGAACCCTTTTCTCAGCGCCTCTTCAATCCCTCCATACCCATCTTCCACTATCGCATCCACCACCTCACCCTTGCAATTCTCTGACGCAAAGCTCAGATTTTTATCATCCTTATACAATGCCACAACTGAACTCGTTTCGTTTTCTGCAGAACACCCGATTATGTGCTCTTGCAGCCCTGTGGGCAGCGATTGTAAGTCACAGCCGAAGAACAATATCATGTCCTTTTGGTTCGGAGGAAGATGGAACATGTTATTTGGAAGTGTGAGGTTCTGGGTGGGAGGAAGACAGCCTTTGGTGGTGTGTGATGTTGAAATTGAAAATACAGCATTGGACACTCGTAGTGACCGATTGTCGTAGAATATTTGATCGATGATGTATTGGGTATTAGACAGATTGAGGATTGGAAAACCACTTTGGGCACAAGAGAGACCAAAACCTGGGTACCCGCAAAAGGGTTCTTGTATTCCTTGGATGTAGAACGGGTAGCTTATATTCAGGTTGTTGCCGCAGGCTTTGGGTTGACATGTTTCGAACTTTGGATCCGGAGAACACGAAGTAGTTCTGATTTGGATATACAAGAGGATGATGTATGAATGAATCAGGGGAGAGTAGAGGGGCTTGAGGATAAACAAGAAGCACTTTTTGTTCATTTTGGAAACTTTGTCTAGTTGTTGTAGATTGGAAAGCTTTGGAAAGCGAGAAGAGAATTACACCAAAAATTGTGAAATGTGAGGATATGGCTCGACTTTGGCATGTAATTGGAGTATACGGTTGTGACATCTTTGACTAAAAGGTTGTTGTCCAGCTGTCCTCCTCTGCCTCATTGACTACAAGGGCTAATTTTTATCTAAATAGGACCACCCACAGGCATGTTGGAAAGCTTGACCAACATGCCACTTTCAGACCTCCAGTTGAAATGCTTATTGGTTTTGAGCTAAGGGAGTCACTAGAACGCATCATGTCATCTAAAAGTTTCATATGACCTAATCTTTCTTTATAGACATTAAATAAGTGTAGAATTGGTGAAGTAATGAATTCAACAGAACCTGAGTCTCTATTAATGTAGTGATGGCGAAGGATTGCTAACTTATTCATGCACTTTCTTCACTTATATATAAGCGGAATGCTGTCCATTTGTATTTTTTTTAAAGTTAAGAATTTTTTTTTTAAAAAAAACTAAAAATTATTTTGTGATTATATAAATTTTTTAGTTTAAAAGTTACTTAAAAACATATATTTCAAGAAATGTCTCTTTCTCTATCTCTAAGACTTTTTGTCTAAAAAAACACATAATTTAAGAAAAGTTAATAAAAATTTAAGAAAAAATTTCTCTTAGCATTTTTTGGCTTTTAATTTTTTTTTATTGTAACTTTTTTTTATTATAAATTTTTTTCTCAAAAATTATTTATTTTTATTTTTGTTTATAAAAAAAAAGTAAAAATAAGAGGATCCGTATCAGCACTAAATTGAACAACTTTTCTTTCTTGGGCAGGATATTAAATAAACCCACTTGATACGTTAGTTGACTTGGAAAATGACAATAGAAGACTTGGTGAAAACTATGGATATTCATCGATCGATCTAAATCGATTCAAACTGCGGTGATTGAATCAAAAAATATATAACTGAATAAATCAAAAATTGAAATATCGAAAATCGAAAAAAAACTCCGCAAATTTTAATTGGATTGGATCGATTTTCGGATTGGTTGATGAAAACTGATGCAATCCAAACCGATCTAATATATTAATTCCCCTCTACTTACTTGAGTCTTTTCCCAATAATAGCTAAAAAATTTCTAAACTCAAGACTCATTAACCATCAACTAAATCCAAAAAAATACCTAGTCATATCTCATCAACAAAATTTTATATCTGTAGAGCTTTGCCAAAAAAAAAAATATTATCGTTTACTGACGTTTTTGTATTTCAAAAAAATAAAATTTACAAAGCCAATATATATAAAAGATGTTATTTGCACAATAATCATAAATTTTTTTTAAGATTTTTAAAAAACCGAAAATCGATCCAATCCAAACCGAAAAAAATTGGATTGGATCAAATCGGATTTGAAAAAAAATCCAAACCGAATGAATGATTATATGATCAAATCGAAGGAATTGAATTGTATGATTTTTGTTTTCAAAACCGATCCAATCCAGGCCGCAAACACCTAGAGAAAACCGTGTGGTCAGAGAAAAGATAAACGAGCCATACTAAACAAGACCCAATTTTCAAACACTAGTTTATTAAATACGAGATCGTTCCATAAGGATTGGTATTCAAATACTAGTTTATTACTTGCAATTTATTTGAACAAACAAAAACAAATAAAAGTAGAATTAAAATTAAGAACAAGCAAGAACATAGAATTGCATAATTAAAACAAGAATTTAAGAAAAGTTAGGTTTTTGACAATTGAGGAAAAAAGTAGTCAGAGATTTTATTTCCCGCAATCTCCTCTATTTATATGTTATGAATTAAAAAGTCAAGAATTCGTTCTTAATATATTACCAATCATTTTTTTTTTAATTTATTAGAGTTCAATAGCTTATACTCTAATTCTATGCGGCCTTGAGAGAATCCTAGTTTAGAAGTTACATATCAATTCATAACCCTAATTTACTGCTAAATTCAGGGAAGTTACTGATCAATTCAGTAAGTCGAATCCAAAAAACCAGAGAATTCTAATCATAAATGTGAAATACATCATATAATTATAGTTATTAATGTGAAATACTGCAACATAAAGTACATCTTAGTATTATCACATACTACAGTGTCTCACATGACAAATGGACTGGAGAGGTGGAAGGAGAGGACATAAAAGGTTTAGGTGGTATTTGCAACAACTCAACACTACCTTCTAGCATTTCCACCACTTTACTTATGGCTGGTCGAGTTGAAGGGTCTGTTTGTATGCACCATAAGCCCACTATTGTCATCTTTCTCATCTTTTCGTCATCACTTTCATTTCTTATATTCCGAAGACCAAGCTCCTGATTTGATTCAAGACGATTGTAAATCCAATGAGGAAAATATATTTCACTGGAACGGTCAACTTGAGCATTAATATTTTTTCTCCTCCCAACCATTTCTAAGACCATCATTCCATAACTGTAAACATCTGACTTATGTGATACTGCACCAAAATTCCTAGAAAATACCTCTGGCGCAATATACCCTGCAGTTCCTCTTGCACCAAATATGGATACTGCACTTTCTTTTCTTGTGCAAATTTTGGCAAGTCCAAAATCTGAAATCTTGGGGCTGAAATTCTCATCCAAGAGAATATTATGAGGTTTTATGTCAAAATGCAAAATTCTAGTATTGCATCCTTTATGAAGGTATTCTAGCCCTTGAGCGACACCAATTGCAATATGGTACAATGTTTTGCAATCCAATTGGCGATCTGCAATCTGGTCATTTTCTTCAAAGATAAACTTTTCAAGAGACCCATTACTCATAAACTCATAAACCAAAGCTCGTTTAGAACCTTCGAAGCAGAACCCAAGAAGAATAACAATGTTAACATGGCAAGTTTTGGTGATGCTTGCAACTTCATTGATGAATTCCTCACCATCATCTTTCAATTCAGTTAGGACCTTCACTGCAACATAAAGCCCATCCTTTGATTGTCCTTTGTATACACTGCCGAATCCCCCTTGTCCTAATTTATTTCCGAAGGAGTTGGTCGCTTTCTTTATCTCAGAATAACTATACCTCCTGGTTGGAAGGGGTTCGTGTCTCTTCAAAAACGCATCGATCCGTTGACGGTTTGAACTTTGCTTCTTCCATCTTGTGTAGCAAAGCATGCCTACTAATAGCACTAGTGTAGCTGTAACAGCTGGAGAGTTTGTTCAATTAGAAAGAATGAATTTAGAAGGCTGAGAAATAATGCCATGCAGAAAAATATAGTAAATATTGTATATCCTTCAGGCTAATGAAATTAAAGGTGATAAGCAATGATTACTAGCTAGATCTATAAAGCTAAGATACAAAAAAGAGCCTGAACTTGGCAGCTAGGATCTCAGTTTTGATCTTCAAAGTGAAGTTGTTTATGTAGTGTTCTGTTAGTAATCAAGAACAGTACAAAGCCAGAACATGGGGTTTTTTTTTTTTTTTACCACTCTTAATTGCTTAAAAAAATATCACTTTGTCCCATATCAGAATATTTTATCTATATGTCCCCGTTTGATCATTGACCGCACAATATACTCGAGTACAGACCTATATACTCGAGTATAACAACAAGTACTCGAGTATATAGGTATGTACTAAAGTAAATATTCAACATTTGGATTTTTTCGAACATATACTCGAGTATATTGTGACCAAATTTTTTATGAGAATTTTCCAACGCGTAACTCGTGAAAAGTTATTTAGAATAAAAAAAATTATCTGATTCGGACACTTGAGCCAAAAGTTATGATGGCCTTCCAAAGCTTTACTCTAAAATTTTAAAAAATTTCTAATGCCAATAGGTTTTGTGATACCCACAAAGCTCCTTATCAGGTTACCCGAGTTAAGTCCAATATTATAAGTATATAACTATAGAAACTTGTTTGATCCAAAAAATATCGTTGAAAAAATATTTAACTATAAAACTTCAGAAGACTATATTTTTTTAATCAGACAAGTTTTGTTGATATCGCAAAACCTATTGGCATTACAAAATTTTGAAAATTTTAGAGTAAAATTTCGGAAGGCCATAATTTTTGACTCAGAAATTTTCCAATGAGTAGCTCTCGAAAAGTTATGTGTAACAAAAAAAAGCACTTGATTTAGTCACCCAATTAAAAAAATATGGTCTTTCAAAATTTTATGGTTAAATTTTTTTTCCACGAGATTTTTTAGATCAAACATCTATAGTCATATACTCATAATATTGGACTTGACTCGAGTAATATGAAGAAGAGCTTTGTGAGTGTTATAAAACCTATTGGCATTATAAAACTGTGGAAATTTTAGGGTAAAACTTCACAAGGCTATAAATTTTGGCTCGAGTGCACGAATTAAGTGTTTTTTTTTATTCCGCATAACTTTTAGAGAGCTACAAGTTAAAAAAATTTCGTAGGAAATTTGGTCACAATATACTCGATTACGGATTCATATACTCAAGTATATTGCATAGAATAACAAATATCTTAGTATCTTAGTCCTATACTCGAGTACATATTCAAAAAAACTCAAATGCTGAATATTTACTCAAGTACATACCCATATATTCGAGTATTTGCTGCTATACTTGAGTATATGGATTTGTAATTTATATTATGTGGTCAATAGTCAAAAAAAGAATAAATAAGTGAAATATTTTGATATGGTAGCAAAATAGTATTTTTTTTGTAGTTAAGGGCACAATGATCAAATACCCATAACATGGCATGAGTATAAAATTTCTAAATTTGAAGCTGCTTTGTTGAGTGGAGTCCAAGTGTTACGTAAAGAACAGATGACTTTGGAGTAAAAGATATTCGCCACTATGACCAAGCATATTGATGAATTGGCACGGTTCCAGCTTAAAGTTAAGTCAAATTCGCCACTATGACCAAGCATAGTGGTTTCGATTTTAAGTCAAATTCGGACGAAAAAGTTTTGCTACTATTGTGGTTGTACTGGCTCAAAGTTAATTAGTTGAGTAATCGATGTAGAAATCTCGAAAAAAGAATACAGGCCACCGTCGTGGTGAGAAAGGCATTGAAGGAATTAGGAAACAGGACATGAATTAAAGATTTTCTTTTGTGAAGCGGAAAAGAGACAATAAATGAGGTTGTTAGATGAAAAAATAAAAGAAGACACGGTGCACAAGAAGATTCCTATGAACAACAATATATGATGGCACGCTACCAAAAATGAACAACAATATATGTATGCATATTACCGATTCCGATTCCTAATCCCATCTTCGAAACCCAACTTCTACCATCTGCACAAATTGAAAACGAAGGAATTATTTTGTTTTGACAATCAATCGTAAATATAAGCATATACGATCGAGTTTAAACAAAATCAACTGTTAAAATTAGTCGTGAAAAGTCGAAGTAAGCCAGACCCAGTATCCTGAATAGAAAGCAACTGTTTAAGATGTTTTGTATCTGTGCATACCTTTCCAGCAATAGAATTTTCCTTCGTTGTTAAGTTGGCATTGGCCTCTTTGACTGCGATGACATTTGTGGCAATCATCAGATAATTCTACTTGAATTAAGACCTGTGGAGATAGAAAATCAAAGGGGTCGCTAGTAGACTGGTCTCTCACTGGAAGCTGAATCGTTGAACACGGTGCTAAAGAGCTTGGCAACTTGAAACCAGGAGCTTTTGCAGTATTTAGAGGGATATAGTAGTAGATATTGTAATCGGAGCAGTTTGAGTAGTTATAAAATTTGGGAATGGTGAGAGTGAGAGAGTGATTGCATCTGAACATAGTTATATTATATTTGATGTAGAAAGAAGCTAAAGGAGAGGTGGGAGGAAGAGTATAATTGTTGAAGGTTTTGCAACTTTTGGAGAGCAAATTCTTCCGTAGAACATCATCTGCGATCGTTATGGTTTTAGAATCCACGCTTGTAACAATAGGAAACCGTGTTGTTGTTGTTGTTGTATTGCTCAGTTGGATGGTTTTGGGAGCCGTGGGATCCTTAAGATCACAGCCATGTATAGCCAATACGCCACAGTCTTGGCGTTGAGTGATTGTGAAAGGGAAACTGATCTGCCCAAGATATCCACATTCAAAAGAGGGTGGACACTTTCCATCGTGAGCTGAAACAAGAAGAAGCAGAAGAAGCTGGGACAAAATTAATGATTTGAACAATAAAAGGAAGGCCATTATGAATGTTGAGATTTGTCAGGCGAGGAGTGGGAAACAATGACATTAATGGAAAGCATGCAATATATTTCATTATGTTTAGTGGCTGCTGAACTGAAATGTTTGTTGACTTGGAACTGGACTGCGAAGACTGGCAGAAACGTATTCGGAGGTGGCATTGGTCCATTTTTGGAAATTTAATCGAAAAACCAACCAACGTGCTTATTACTCCACCTCCGTTTAACATTAGCCTCAATAAAACGTAATTCTTTTTCTCAAACTTTTTTTTTTTTTTTTGATAACATCTTTTTCTCAAACTTAAATACACCAGAATGCCTGTTTGCTTTTGGTTACTTTCACGTACAAGAGTTTTTCAACGTAAACTTCACTCTCAAGTATTTTGATTAAATGTTTTTCGGAAAGCAAATAAGCTATTATAAACTGGGATTAAACGTCATATTTCTGTTTGACGTTTGCCTATCTGAGGCTATATGAATGTGGCGAACTTAAAAAAAATTATTTATGTTTGTACATTTACTAACCGGGATGCCCCTGAAACCAGTGTTTTAAAACTCGGACCGGTCATCGAACCGGTCGAGGTACTGGGTCATTGGATCACTGGTTCAACCGGGTTCAACCGGTTTACTGTTCACATATTAAAAATATAAAAATATTACTTATATTAATAAAAATTCATATAAGAAAACTATCAATGAGCTTCAAGAAATAAATTGGTTTTCAATGATAGCAAATATTATATACTTCTAAGCTTCTAGCTCTAGACCGTATCCTAATATTGGATTAAACCATGCAATATAAGTTAAATGCACTTTTTGTGCTTGACATGATACGTATAAATTAAATCATGATAACAAATAGTATGCATGAAATATACACTATAAGAAAAAAGTGTCCACCGTTCAGATGAGATTATGAGACCATCAGTGTTTATCACCACTTAACTTCATGAGATCATTATAAGATGCAACTAAATTACATAAACGATACTACACTAATCTAAACTACCTTATTATTTTCACCTTACTTTTAATCATATTCATCATAAAATATGAATATGATTTAATTCAAGAGTTCTTATCAACAAAAAAAAAAGGAAAAACCGGTTTAACCCGAGTCAACCGGGTCGCCGAGTCGCCGGGTTTCGGCCGGGTCAACCGGTCCAATCCGGGCTGACTGCATAACCGGTCCAACTACCCGCTCGGACCGGGGAACCCACCGGGTCACCGAGTCCCGGGTCGACCCGGCCGGTCCGAGCCGAGTTTTAAAACACTGCCTGAAACTATTCACGTATAACAAGTTTTGCTATTTGCATATCTCCTTTTTTTAAATACTATTTCAAGATAAAGTAAACTACTTTTAATTCCTCAATAAATATCACGGAATCCAATTTAATTCTTTAAGAAAAAAATTCGACTCGTGATCCTCTCAAAATTAAACTAACTGTCTATTTTGAATTTCAGAAGAACCGTAAGTCGACTTTTTTTAAAGGATTAAAATGAATCTCGCAATTTTTGTTAAGGATCGAAAAATACTTTACACTTCAAGCTATTTCAAATGTTTTTTTTTTTTTTTTTTGTGTTTGCGCTTATAGACAACCATGTAGGTCCTCGTGTGGCTAGGGTAGTGGAAAGGCCCAATATCCCCACAATTAAAGGAGACTGGACAGTTAAGTTGGTACCCATTTCCATACCCACAGGACAAAATCACAACAAGGTTAGTTAATAACACCAGGGGCGGAGACAAGGGGAGGCTAGGGTGGGCGGCTGCCCCCCACTCCAAAAAAATGAACAAAATAATTAATGTAGTTAAAGGCCAAACATAATACTGTTGTTACTATTAAATGTACTTCTTCTGGAAGTTCTGATTTGAGATTCAAGTTGAAATCCACCTCCACTTCACCTAATGTGTGTTATGTGTAACCTTTTCTGTATTTTATTTTTTATTTTCATATGCTATGTTTTGGTTAATGAAAGCTTTGGCCTTTTTGCCACCCTTTTGCTCTCTTTTCATTTGCATGGATCTTTTCTAACTCAAAAGATTCACTTTTTGGGATAACTTGACTGCAGTCTTTTATTTTATTTAAAAAAAAATGCAGTTAAAAGCATTGTTTCAGTTAAGGTACTTTTTTTTAATTATTGCTTTAAACTACTTTTTTTTGTCTGTTGGACCCAACTAATAGTATATTTTTTAAGTTTTTGAAATATTGTTAAATGTTAATATTTTGGTAAGAAATTACCTAAACGAGTTTTACGAAGATATGAGGTCAATAGGTAAAAAAAATACTAATATCATGTAAGACAAAAATTAATTTTCGCCTTCCTTTCCCTCCAATTCTGACGCCGCCACTGAATAACACCAAGCACAACATAAGCCATCCCAAATTCCCCAAATTTATGAGAAAGAAGTAATGGACTCTCAACGACAACCTGATGAAGTTGTGCTAAGTGTTTTCTTACACTGTCTCCGCAATATATACATGTACACGTCATGTATCAACTCAATTAAAAGAACTTCTTTGACACGGCAGTTGACTTGGAAAATGATCATCCAAGACTTGATGAAAAAGAGAGGTAGATAAAGATTAACCGTGCGATAAAAACACGTTATTTTTTAGGAAGAGAAGTAATGGATTCAACAACCACCCGAGTCTCTATTAATGTAGTGAAAGCGAAGCTGTGCTATCTATTCATGCACACTTTCTTCACATATATATGCGGTATGCGGCCCCTACTAAATTGAACAACTACTATAATTTGGCCTGGATATTAAATAATCCACTTGATACAGCAGTTGACTTAGAAAATGACAATGGTAGACTTGGTGAAAACCGTGTGGTGAGGGAAAAGATAAATGAGCCATAGTAAACAAGCTAGACCAAATTTTCACAGCTAGGTAAGACTAAGAGTGGACAATGGACACCTAATTGTCTTTTGACATCTTCAGCCGAAAGGAGCAAATAGTAGCAAAAGCAGAGATAAAATCAGTGAAACAAATATAAAAGCAAAGGTAATTATTGTGAGTGTCGAGAATTGTTTGAACTTTAAGACAAGCCCGGGATAAATTGGATGGCAAATCTTTCTATCTTACTACTGAGAATCTGAGACGGATGCAATCACCATTGACTTGGAAGTAAACTACGGACTATGAAGACTTTGGACACATCTGTCTTGGAAGCAAGTTAGATGATTATTCCAATACAAGGTGATTGACGCTCTTTAGAATTTTAAGCCAAAGACCACTCAGTACCTATCACTGTATCCTATTTTTCCACAGAAAAACCTCAAACTGTCCTCCATTGATGTTTCGGCCGGAATATCCAACGATCAGAAAAGTCTTGGTCTCACTTGAGTTACAGCTCATAGGCAGCACGCTCAGAACTTCATACAACTTTCCAAACCATTCTACGCAATTGCCACTTTAGCACAATCAAGTAAGTCTCACGGGTGCGTTTGGTACGCGAATATTTTTTGGAATTTTTGAGAAACTGAATTTTTAATATTCGAATATTATTGTAAAATGTAAAAATTATATTTATGAAAATTTAGATTTTTGAATAAAAAAAAATTTCTCATCTATTAAACATCCCCTACTACTTCATGCATGGTTCTTCGAGTACTGCAGCATCAAATTCAAGTCAGATAAAAGATTTGGCTAAAAAAATTTCCTACACAAAAGAAGCACAGAGAAAGTTAGAATAAAAAAGAAATAAAGATATATTCAAAAAAGAAAAGAAATAAAGACGATTATAGTCTTCTTGGTGGAAAATATTTAATATGTTTCAGGATCGTCTAATGATTTGGTGCTCTCTCACACTATTAATTTTTTTTTTCTTTTTTATCCCTGTTATTTTTATTTTTTTTTCAATTTTACCCTTCTATTTACACTAAGGACCACTAGAAAATAGTATTCCCTCACCACAATAACTCGTTGGTGACAGGAACTGATCCGGAGCTTCACGTCTATCCCTATGCGGTGGGGACCATACTATGTACTCGGAGCTGTCTTTATCTTTTTAGTTTTTAGTGGTTACTAAAGCTTTAGTAGTATCTTTACTTAAAAAAAAAAAAAAAAGCTTTAGTAGTATTTACCAAAATGAAATTAGTTTTAAAAATATCTTTTAAAGATTTGAATCAGATGCTTTTTTTTTTTTTGGAGTTACCCAACCCTAATTACCTCTTTGAGGCGAGTTGACTTCCTCCGGTATCCCCACGAGCTTCGACTCTTTCAGCCGGCTATGAGACTAATCCGGAGTGCGAGGGTCAGTGATGGCTAAAGGTTCAGCCCCCTCCTCAAGAATGCATTCAGCGGGAATCGAACACATGTCCAACCCACTACCAGAAAAGTGCACTATTTTGGTTTATGAAGACAAATTTTACTGTAAAATGATTAGGTTGAAATTTTAAGTGAGTATAAGGATGTAAATAAATTAAGCTTTGCCTTAAATATGTTAGTTTTATGTAAACGATTTAGCTTAACCTGATGTGTTAATTTTTTATAAGCTCAAATTATAAGTCTGACTTGATTTATATCAAAAAATTAAAAAAATTGACCTAAACTTTGTTTAAGCTTATTAAATATTTAATAATTAAAATAATATTATTTAAAATTATAAAATATTAATTTTTTTATTATTTTTAAAATAAATAATATTATATAAACCAACCTGTAATTTTATAGGTCCAAGCTATAAGTTTATAAGCATTTAAACCCCATAAGGGGTGTTAAGGCGCGAAATTGGGTTAGGAAAGGGTTAAATAAAAAAAGTAAAAGTGAAATGAATCATGCATAATTTTTTTTTTTTTGTACAAAATGAATCATGAATTTAATAAAGGTTTTGGATTAATATTGGTGTCCAACCCAAGTGGAGGATTATTACTTAACCCATTGGGTAATATCTTGGTCTTATGCAGGGGTGTTAATCAACTGATCTAAATCAATTTAAATCGTGGTAACCGAACCGAACAATCGAAAACTGAAAAAAAAATCCGCAAATTTTAATTAGATTGAATCAGTTTTCGGATTGGTTGATGAAAATCGCTTCAATCCAAACCGAGCCAATATATTAATTCCCTTCTACCTAATTGGGTCTTTTCTTAGTCATAGCCCAAAAATTTATAAACCAAGATCCATTAACTCATCAACTAAACTCAAGAAAAAAATCTAGTCACTCTCATCAACGAAATTTTATCTGTGTAGAACTTCATATCTCATTGCCACAAAAAAAAAACTATATTATCGTTTAATGATACTTTTGTATTTCAAAAAAAAATATTTATAAAACCAATATATTTAAAAGATTTTATTTGAACAATAATCGTGAAACAAATTTTAGGATTTTCAAAAAACTAAAAACAGATTCAATCCAAATCGAAAAAAATTGGATCGGATCGAATTGAATTTGAAAAAAAATCCAAACCGAATGGATAATTACATGATCAAATAGAAGGGATTGAATCAGATAATTTTTTCTTCCAAAAACGATCCAATTCAGATCGCGAATACCTATACTCTGTCAGAGTCCTCTTAACAGAACAAAATAAACTGAGCCCGTTTGTTTGCACTTTTGAAAAAATTAACTTTTATCTCTTCTTTATTTTAGAAGTCCTTTTTATAAAAGTTAAAGCTATTTATATTTTTATAAAAATATTTAGATTTTGAAAAATATATTTGACTTTTGACTTCTACTTTTTTTAGAAGTTAAAATTTTTAGCTTCAGAAAAAAGTAGATTTTTGATTTTTTTTGTGACTTATGCTTTTTTTAAAAGCAAGCATCCAAACTAACTAAAAATGAAAAGTGCTTTTTTTCAAAAAAAAAAAAGCAACTTCTGGAGAGAAAAAAAACCCATCCAAACGGGCCCTTAGTACCGGTAGGCAACAAACAAAAATATCAGCTATTAATTACCTTGAATTTCCCCTCTTCCTTCCTTTCCAGTTTTGAGTTGTTTTTTTTCCCCTTCCTTTTCCATTTCTGCTCTTCAAAATGCAATTTTCAAATGGAACTTCGACATAGTAATTACCGAGTACTATGACTTACCCGAGCTAGGTAGTGAGCTGGCTTATTTTGATATCCCTTTTCTTGGTTTAAATTTTCGTCTATGCTTACTTGGTTTCTCATAATTGCAGTTTCTTGTCAGTGCTTTTTCGCTTTTCTTTGTATTGTTCCAGCTTCACTACATTTATAGTCTACATCAGATATTCTAGGACTCTCTTGAGTCTTTCCTGCTATATATAATTTTCTTTAGCCAGAAAATAAGTAGAACAATATCCGAATATGGTCAATTAGTTGGCCAAAGACAACTTTAAAGCATTAGTGAACCGAAGATTTACCTTCTTAATCGAATGGGGGATTTTGAAGCCAACACAGGTAACAGGATGACAGAGCTTAAAAACTTATATTAATTATTAAGGCAACAAATAGGTATAAAGTATTAAATTGCTCTATAAGTGGCAGCAGACCAGCCAATAATCAACTATCGTTTGAAGATCTTAGAATTGTTAGAAGTATTCATTATACAACCCAGTAAGTCCCTAATAAATTTACAAACTCAAATCAAAAGAAAAATAATATTACTGTAATAAATGCAATATATTGCAACAAAACTACATCCTAGTATTCTCACATACTACAGTGTCTCACGTGACAAATGGACTGGAGAGGTTTTTGGAGAAGACAGAAAAGGTTTGGGTGGTATTTGCAACAACTCAATACTACCTTCTAGCATTTCTATCACTTTACTTATGGCTGGTCGAGTTGAAGGGTCGGTTTGGATGCACCATAAGCCCACTATTGTCATCTTTCTCATCTTTTCGTCATCACTTTCATTTCTTATATTCCGAAGACCAAGCTCCTGATTTGATTCAAGACGATTGTAAATCCAATGAGGAAAATATATTTCACTGGAACGGTCAACTTTAGCATTAATATTTTTTCTCATCCCAACCATTTCTAAGACCATCATTCCATAACTGTAAACATCTGACTTATGTGATACTGCACCAAAATTCCTAGAAAATACCTCTGGCGCAATATACCCTGCAGTTCCTCTTGCACCAAATATGGATACTATACTTTCTTCTCTTGTGCAAATTTTTGCAAGTCCAAAATCTGAAATCTTGGGGCTGAAATTCTCATCCAAGAGAATGTTATGAGGCTTTATGTCAAAATGCAAGATTCTAGTGTTGCAACCTCTATGCAGGTACTCTAACCCACGAGCAACCCCAATTGCAATATCATACAATGTTTTGCAATCCAATTGGCGAGCAACCTGTAACGGATTTTTGTCTTCATATATGAACTTCTCAAGAGATCCATTAGGCATAAATTCGTATATTAGAGCCCTTTCGGAACCGTCCAAACAGAATCCAAGAAGAGTAACAATGTTAACATGTGAAGTCTTACTAATACTTGCAACTTCATTGATGAATTCTTCTCCGTTACCTTTTGATTTGCTTAAAATCTTGACGGCAACAACACGTCCATCATGTAACTTCCCTTTGTATACACATCCGTATCCTCCTTGGCCTAATTTGTTTCTGAAAGAGTTGGTAATTTTCTTGACCTCTGAATAACTGTACCTGGCGGTAGGGAGGGGTCCATGTTCCTTCAAAAACTCCTCAATAATCTTATGGGTTGGTTTGGCCTTCCAAAACAAAAGATATAGGGGAGAGAAGATCTTTGTCCTAAAGCAGCAAGCCAAGACCATCAGCACTGCAACTCCAGCAGTCACCAAGGACACTGCAGAATTTATTTAATATATTTAGCGTCAAGTAAGAAAGTAAGGAACTGTATATATGAACAAAAGTCTCAAAACATGCTCGTAGGCTATCCTTTCAGTTGATTTAACTGGACTAAATTTTGGCTGTGTACTACGCAAACAATGTAATATATAAAATCTTCACAGTACATATGGGGTCTTAACAAAAATGATAAAATTGAATTGGGTATGCTTATAGTGCTCTACCTGTTGCCACTATCGGCATCTTCTTTCCGATTTTATCTGCAAAACAGAACAAAGAAAAAGAGAGAAAATCAAAGAAAATGATTTAAACTTTTTAAATTTATATTAAACATTTGCTAACGCAACCCTCTGTAGTTATTTTTTATAATTTAAGAATTATACCGTAACTGTTGGCACAATAAAATCTCCCTCCGTTGTCGAGTTGACACTGCCCTCTCTGTAAATGGTGACAATTGGCACATTCATCTGTTAATTTTACTTCAACGTTGATATCAGCGTTTACGAATGTAAATGGGTCATAAGAGTCGGGCACGTCTTTAATTGGAAGCTGGACCTTTGCACATGCTGTCAAAGCATAATTAGCAGTGATTTCTGGCCCGTAGTAGAGATCGTAGTCATGGCACTTTGTATAATTAAACATATATATTGGGGGCCTGACATGGAGGGTTTGGTTGCACCTAAACAGGGTTGCTTTAGTTCTGATACTAAAAGCACCAAAATGGAAGGTGGGAGGAAGAGTGTAATTGTACGTGAAAGCTTCACAATTTCTGGATTGCAGAAGTTGATACAGATTGTTGTCTCTAACTTGTAAAGTTGTAACAGTGGGACCTAGGGGAACCTGATCAACGCGTATAACCAGAAACCATTTCCCTTGATTGACTAATTGGATCTCTTTTGGCTTCATTGGATGATCATCACAATTGTGTATGGCCAATAAGCCACAGTCTTGGCGTTCTGTTGTAGTGAAAGGGAAGCTGATATTGCCAACATATCCACATTGAAATGAAGGAGGGCACTCTCCTTTGTAGCCATTCCCATCTCCAGCCGCCAAGGGAAGTACCATTATAAGGTGACAAAACAAAAGGAAGAGAAATTCATAAACTGGAGCCATATCCTTCCTGAATCACCCAGTATGTTAAGGAGCTAATAATCCCTTGTTATTTTGCCCATTCTTCCCAATACGGTGCCTATATGAGCTACTTAATACGCCAGTTGACTTGGACAATGGCAATGGAAGACTTCAGCCTAACTAGTCCGGAAAAAAACAGTAGTGAGGCAGCCACACGGTTAACCATTTTCACCAGTTGACGAGCGGCAGAAAGACTTGACATTTTGAAACTAAAAGTCTCTTATACATCTTACACAACTATGGCTTGTGGCCTGAACTTTTTTATTTTTTATTTTTTATTTGCCTTTTTGGTGCGTTGTTAAAACATGTACAAGAAAAATAGATTGGAACTATTAATAAATCTTGTGTGTTTGATAAAGTTCTCAATAAAGGAAACGAAAATGAAAACAAGACAAGTACAGGAAACCAAAAATAAAATAGATACAAACAACTGAATAAAGGTTCTCCTACCGTCTTTTCTACTCGAACGAAATGTCCAATATACATTAATTTGTGGATGATTTTATTTGGTAGATATGATTCAATTATAATCTTCTTCCATTTCATCTGCCCGCAGAGGCCAAATGACGTGAAAATTCAGTCATGTAATCACTGCTGACATGCAAATAGCCAAACGGACTTCGCAAATTTGAAAGTTCAAATACTTGTGGTGAAGCTAACATAAACTGAATTATATAAATTGAAAAGAATATATTCATTGGCTTTTGGATTTAGACGCGACATCAAACCCATAAACTCAATAAGATAACCCTTATATTGGGGCTGTCATACCACTCAACACACTAGCAACAACTAGGGGATGGATTAGACCGGCCCACCGGGGTCTATGATCTAATTTATATTAGGTCAAATTTAACTTATTATAAATAGTCAAATAGAACATGTCTATACTTTAAAAAAAATATTTAAAAAGCAGGTCATATGTTTTTTTATACATGTCGGACCTATAAGTCTACATGCTGACCCATGTCATATTATTTATTTTAAATAAAATTATTATTTTAATAATTTTAAATAATAAAATAATATTATTTTAGTTATTTTTTTATTATTGAATGTTTAATAGGCTTAAACAGCCTAGGTCAAAGTTTTTATTTTTTTAAATATAAATCAGGTTTTTAAATATAAATCAGGCCAGACTTGTAATTTGGACTTGCACAGGCGACTAATAGGCCAGATCAAGTTTAAGGTTTTTTACATAGGCCGAACATATTTAAGTCAAAATCTAGCATAACCTATTTAGGCTCCCAGCAACAACAAAATTATCCCGTGCAAATAAAACCTCTTAAAATTATGGGTTATTAAAGTTATTTGAATTTCTCTCTCTGGGATACCCCAGCCCCTGCATCCTTTATCTCTTCCGAAAGTACTGGGGATAATCTTGAAAGTAAATAAACTTTATGGCAAAGATGCTCACAGATTTATTAGAATAACAGTTATTTAGTAAATGATATGAAGCAATAAAATCTTCTTTGTAATTTATTTATTTTGGTAAGGTAACACTACTTACTCAGGCAATTTCATGAGTACTCATTAATTGGAACTGGGATGTGCAGCATATCACACACACTTAATTTGGAGCTGCTCTACATTCTAGAAGAAGAAATTTTTGTAAAACTTTCGAGTACCATACTGATCTTATATTTACTAATCAGGACCACCTATCTCGTAACCAAGAACAAAGACGAACGAACGGGCAACAAATATGGGAATATAGTTACAATGAAGCTAGTTATAAGATAAGGACTTCCTTGTCTGCCATTGATTTTGACAATTCTTGCAGCACTTATTATGTTGAAAAATGTGTCTTGGATTAAATCTTAAGCAGGAGTGAGACATGGAAATAGTGTTTTGCTTATTTTAACTTCTAATTATTGTTGCTTTTTCCACACCGCATTACACGAATGTGACAGACTTATTCACTAGATTTGTTAGAAATCATAACACTCGTCACAATCAAGCCTTACCGGAAATAAGATGTTCCAGTTATCTGAGATAACACAATATTAGAAGTTGTTGGCAGTATTTGCTCGGAATGCGCTCCATGTACGTGGAAAATACTTCCGCTTGGAAGTGTTTGATCGTAGGTAGACAGTATTATCATATAACGTGCTTAGAGATATTTATCAGAGACATCTAATTGGCTCTAAGGCCAATATATCAATCACTATGCAAAAGCAATAGGCTTATAGTCAACTTATGAGTGTGTGTGCTCAATGTTGGCAACAAGAGTAATTAGGCTCAAAGTGTGTACTTGAGAGGTTTTAACCCTTTATTTATAGAAGAGGTTACATGTAGATTTAGATTTCTAGTAGGAGTGTGATTTCTTGGGATAGGATGATTGGATTATCCTCTAATATTGTTAGGATAAATCTCAATCTTATATTGGATAGGATGTTGAGATATGGATCTAGTTCATAACAGTTGCCCCCAATCCGGTAGTTTGAGTGTTTAGGCTGTCGGGTTGTAATATTTTTCTTGCATCTCAGACGCGTCTAGGTCCGTCCTTAATTGGCATTCTTGAGTCGCTTTGCACGCATTTCTTTCATGGGGTTCTGTCCTTTTTTGTGTTGTAAAGTACATTGTTGAGTTTTTTTCGGCCTTTGTCTTTATTGACATGTCATTTCAATTTCAACTTTTATCATGCTTTTATGATGCATCTTGACGTTCTTTTTGTAAAAGTTGCTTTAGCTCAAAGTGTTGCCGAGGCTATATATCCTTTGTAAACCCGGATTGTCTTTCCGAGACTCTAATTTGTACTTCTTTCCGGGCTGCTTTAGAGATTTGGCCTTGTTATGTGATTTTTTGTCCCTTATTCCATTTGTTATTCGATCTTCGTCCATGATTCTGAGTGAGTAAAATTGTGTATCGAAATGCCAATTTATTTTATACTTTACTCTTTGCTGATTTAGGGGCCTCCGAGCTCTTATTAAATTCATAATTGATATTGCCGGGTTTGTTCTCGGTCCTTTTTTGATTTGGTAATTTGAATTCCCCTTTCTTTCTCTGTTTACGGAGTTGGGTTCTTTCGCGTCAAAATTAGCCCGACTTTATTGCCGTAACTTTGATTTTGGAATGGCTTCCTTCGCCTGATGACCAGAGTTTGGCGAGGCAGTGTTTGCTTCTTTAATTTTGAGCCCAACTTCTCTTGTCGTGATTGTTTATCTTGACTTGGCTTCTTTAAGGAAGCAATATTGTTTGCAGGTGCTCTTGTATTTGACTTGTTTTGCCGCAATCTTAAGCTTACGAAGGTGATATTTGCCTCCTTGGCTTTGAGCCCACAACGTTTGTCATGGGTTTTTTTTGTCTAAGCCTCACCTCTTTGGTGATGACTTTTTCATCTGAGCTCGACTTACTTCGCCGTGGCTTTTTACTTTAAGCCTCGCTTCCTTAGCAGTTGATTTTTTATCTGAGCTCGACCTATTGCGTCGCGAGCCTTGTCACTTGACTTCGTTGCCAAAATCTTGAATAGTAGCCCGACATTGTATGTAGAGTTTTTCTTATATCGACTTGACTTTGTTGCCGCAATCTTAAGTTACTAGGATGGTTTTCCGCCTTCTTCATTTTTATCCCGGCTTCACATACTGTGGCTTTCTTTAAATTGACTTGGCTCTTGCCTTGTCTACGCTTTTGAAGGCGATACCTTTGCCTTTCTGATTTTAGCCCGACTTAACATACCGTGGCTTTATTGTTGGACTAGACTTTTTGCCAGTCTTGTTTGTGAAGGTTGTATTCGCCTTCTTGAGCCCGACTTATCATACCGTGGCTTTTGTATTAGTGACTTGGCCATAGTCGCTTTATATTTCTGGAATTAGCTTTCACCATATTTTGTCTGAGACTGGCTTCGCATACCATGGCTTTCCATTGTGACTGACTTCTTTCTCCAAAGTCTTATATTTATGGAGGCGGATTTCGCCTCTTTGAATTGAAACTTGGCTTCTTCTGCCATGGCTTTTTCATTTGAGCCCCGCTTCATTCGCGGTGGCCTTTCTATCCGAATTCAACTTCTTACGCCGTGGTTTTAGTTTTGGCTCGATTTCGCACAATGAGATCTTTAGTAGCATGAATTTGACCTGCTTTTTGCAAAGGTGCGTTATTCTTTAAGGAGTACGGCTCCTCTTACCGCATCTTCCCCCTTTTGGATTTAGCTTACTGCCTACGTCTTGAGTTTATGGGGGGCTATTTTTGTCTTTTTGCTTGAGCTGGGCTGAGTTGAAGCTCAAGGCCGAGGCCGAGATGATAATCTTGAAGCCCTTGGCTGAGCTGAGTTGGAGCTCAAGGCTAAGGTCGAGCTGATAATCTTGAGTTGGAGCTCAAGGCTGAGGCTGAGTTGTTAATCTTGAAGCCCTTGACTGGGCTGAGCTCAAGCGAACTAATAAACTTGAAGCCCTTCGCTGGGCTGAGTTGAAGCTCAAGGTCGAGGCCGAGCGGTTAATCTTGAAGCCCTTAGCTAGGCTGAGTTGAAGCTAAAGGCTGAGGCTAAGCTATTAAACTTGAAGCCCATAGCTGGGCTGAGCTCAAGGCCGAGGCCGAGTTAATAAACTTGAAGCCCTTGGCTGGCTGAGTTGGAGCTCAAGGCTGAGTCTGAGCATTTAATCTTGAAGACCTTGATATGCCTCCAGCATATATATGATTTTAAGCCAAAAAAGAGGAAGAATCTTGATCAATCTTGAATGAAAAAGCTCATAATTGCTAACAAATTGATAAATCCTAATCAGATATCTTGTCACTGATTTTCTATATTTTTGTAGGAAAAAGTTCAAGAAAGAGGCCCAATTGTGTAGCACAAGGAAATACAAGATTTGATCCACCGCGCTACTAGCGCGGCACTTAGCGCCATCATCATCTTTCAACACAGTGCATCCGCGCTATCAGCGCGAGATCCACGCTAGTAGCGCGAAGATACTGCCTCCAAACAAAAGTTCCACGCTATCAGTGCCAAACTAGCTCTAGTAGCGCGGGAAGCACGTGACAGTTTTAATTCTTATGTCAGAAAGTATCCGGAGGAGATTGAAATCAAGAGATATGATCAAGATTTGAATCAGAGAAAAAAGTCTATAAAAGGGAGACAGAGAACCCTTAGAAAGACATCTTTGACTGGAAAGAATTGTGAGAATCAAAGAATTGAGAGAATTTTTGGAGACTCACACTGGAGATCAGGATTCTAACAAAGTTGAAGACCGAAGATCAATGATTCTTCCGTTTCATCTTCTTCTTTTTTTCTGTTGCTGTTATGAGTTCTTTTAATTATTTTAATTTGTTAAAGTCAGATATGTATGACTAAGTTCTTTTTGTAGTTGGAATCACAGATCGAATGTCAATCCTTTATATGTTTTAAATTGTTTTTATAATTAATGTAATTTATGCAGATTTATTCTACCTGTGTTAATTCTTCCAAATCCTTGATAGAATTGATCGCTCTATTATAGGATTTTGAGGGTTAGAGCTCACAATAGACATATTGGGGTTTTAATCTAGACAAGGGTAGAATAACAATTTGTATATGATCTAGACATAGGCTCACATAGATTGCAGACTTTTAATTCATTTGCTTAAAGCTTATTTCAAGAGGAATTACTAAGACACTAGGATTCTAATTGGGTTAAAGGGTTGAAAACACTAAGACATTAGGGTTCAACTATTTAATAGGGAAATAATGAATTGTCTGAGGTGAAATACATCCTGACAATTTAAGAATATAAGGGAAGATCGAAGGTGAAGTACATCCTGACTACAGTTCTTTTACAAATTCAATTATCTCTTTGATATTCTTAATTAATTCTTGCATGCTTTTAACTATTTCTGTTTTTAAATTTCTGTCAACAAATATTTTCAAAATCAAACTGAGTTTTTCCAAATTAAGGGGAATAGTTAAATTAATACTTGGTGTATTAATCCTCGAGGGAACGATATCTTACTTATCACTTTTATTACTTGAAACGAACGATATACTTGCCGATTTCGCAACAGCCCTTGGCTGGGATGAGTTGAAGCTCAAGGCTGAGGCTAAACTGTTAAAATTGAAGCCCTTGGCTGGGCTGAGTTGGAGCTCAAGTCTGAGACTGAACATTTAATCTTGAAGCCCTTGGTTGAGATGAGTTGAAGCTCAAGGCTGAGGCCAAACTATTAACCTTGAAGCCCTTGACTGGGCTGAGCTCAACGCTAAGGCCGAGCTAATAAACTTAAAGCCATTCGCTGAACTAAGCTCAAGGGTGAAGCTGAGCTAATAAAATTGAAGTCCTTAGCTGGGCTGAGTTGAAGCTCAGGGTCGAGACCGAGCTGTTAATCTTGAAGCCCGGGCTGGGCTGAGTTGAAGCTCAAGGCTAAAATCAAGCTGTTAATCTTGAAGCCCTTGACTGGGCTGAGTTGAAGCTCAAGGCTGGGGTCGAGCGGTTAGACTTAAAGCCCTTGGCTAGGCTGGGGTCGAGCGGTTAGACTTAAAGCCCTTGGCTAGGCTGAGCTCAAACTTAAGGCCGAGCTAATAAACTTGAATTCCTTAGATGGGCTGAGTTGAAGCTCAAGGCTGAGGCCAAGCTGTTAAACTTGAATCCCTTAGATGAGCTGAGTTGAAGCTCAAGGCCGAGGCCAAGCTGTTAAACTTGAAACCCTTAGCTGGGCTGAATTGAAGCTCAAGGCTCAAGATCGAACTGTTAAACTTGAAGCCCTCTAATATTATTAGGATAAATCTAGATAGATTGTTGAGATATGGATCCAGTCCATAACAGGAAGCATACTACACCAAGAAGACGCATTACCAAACATTGGATAATTCAAATTACTATTAATCAGGCTGATGCTACAAGCAAATGCCTTGTATAAGTGATAAGCATGCTTAAATTCTTCTACAGTTGAAGAACCTTTTCAATGTTAGATCCTCAAATTAGTAGTATCCACATGAACATTCTGCAGACGCCCAAAAACTCAGTCCAGGCTCTCTCCCATGTCCCAGCCTTTGCTACTCAAATGCAATCCACATTTTAGATGATTATGAATTCGTGGATATCAAATATACATCTGTTGCTACTTGCTAGTGAGATTAAATCAATTACTTGGCTCGTGATTACAAAAAGTGAAAGATAGCATAAAGAATAGATGGACTCCAATTTTTAACCTATGACACTTTAACTCCACTAGGACGTTTTCCTTCCATAGCATCCTTCTTATCGCGACAATCAAAACATAAAAAAGGACCTTGCCAGGGCTTCGAGCTGGTGGAAAAAATGGAACCTGCGTGGACAGAGATTCCCTCACTTGCAGCAAGATCAACTTGGCATACAACACATACAAAAAGGCCAGATGTTGATTGCCCTGAGTTGTCATCATTTCCTAATCTGCAAGATATACTAAGTATTAAATATTTATGAACCAGTTTTAAAAATAAGAAAATGTTATACTTACTACTTTTTTTTCTTATTACTTCTTACTATCAAATCTTAATCGTTGATTTTCATCAATCTAACGATTATAATTTACTGGGTCACATTTTTTAATTAATTTTTAATTTTTAATAAATTATAACCGTTAAATTGACAAAAATCATTAATTAATTATTAATTTCTAATAAATAATAACGGTTAGATTGATAGAAATCAACAATTAAGATTTGATAGTAAAAGGTAGCAAGAAAAAAAGTATTAAGTATAACTCCACCTTAAAAATATTTAAAATTGGCTTTCAGTTACTCTCACTCAACAAGAAAATATTACAAACGTGTAATGCTTCCCGAAAAGAACGAATTCACAACAAGATAACACACTGATATTGGCTTGGATATCATCCTAAGTAGGAATAAGTTAAAGAGATAACCAATAGAAAATGTTGTGTACGCAATAGAATAAAATATGAGTCTTTCTCCAGCCACCCTTCCAGTTTCCTTATCTTCTGTATTATGTCCAATTTATTGTGTTCCTATATCAAACCTACTCAAATTCAAAATCATATGTAGAAATATAATTGACATCTGTCCAAGCAAAAACCTAGACTTTTTGGTACATAAAACCTTGTCTATATCTATGAGTGGAATTGAGAAATGACAATGCATCATTATATTGAAGATCCTTAATGTTTGTGTTTTTTTGTTGGGAACAAACTTTTGAAGTGGATAGAGAATTCATTTCTGTTTAAAACGAAGAAGAAGCCAAGTTCATCTTAACAATCAACTAAATAAACAAATGGATGTCAGATAAACTGGAGTTATTGTGGTCAGAAATATACCAGTGCTCCGTGCCTCCTGCACTGTATCACATCCAGGTTTATTTTCCAATCTAAACATGTGTTTTGTTTTCTTTCTTTTTTTTTATTTTCTAATGCTTTAGTCAATATTAGCTTGAACTTTTGCCAGTTAGATACTGTTTTGTATTTGGACTAAGCCATATTTTGTCATCCAACATAGTCCCAGAAAAAGATATGTATAAGACAATGACTGAAGTGATAAGTTTTAGCTTTGCAAGTGTGAAGTCTAATCAAAACTAAGTAATCCATGTTCTATGGTTTTGTCAGATGGTTAGCTGAAAATTCTATCTTCCCTTCCGTAGCTTCAACTAATCAGTTAATCTTCATTTTGACCATCAAAATTATTCAAACATCATTAGCTTAATTCCCAATTTATAAAATAATTGGATTTGGAAGGACATTTAAAAATAACTTGTCTCTCCCCACCATTACTTTGAATTATCCTCGATACAAATCCTAAACGTCTAAACCTTCACAGCCTATTATTTAACCAGTCACCAATATTCCCAAACCAAAATTTTACCCTATAGTATAAATGACAAGGAATATGAGTTAGCTTCTACAAAACAATAATCATTAGAAGGCCACCCTCCCCTTGGCACTTCAGTTTACTTGTACCAACTACGTATCAACCTCAACTTTTAATGACAGAATTCCTATGTGCTGTGGGGACAAAAGGAGGTCCATAGAAATAAATGAGATTTTCCAAATCCCATCAATTAAAAAATTTTTCCTGTAAAAGAGCATTAAAGATTACCTTTCAGCAAGCATTGCTGATCCTTCTTCAAATAGTTCCTCCACTATATTTATAGCTGAAAGCTTCTTTGACAGCTTACCAGCAGAATCACGCGGCCTTTTCCTGAACAAAAGATCTCTCAACTTGTTCCGCTTTTTGGGGGGAGGTGTTGGTGGCAATTCATTCTCTGGTGGTATTATGTCAACAACTATGCAAGTTGTATCGTCCTTTAACCCTCTTGTTCGTAGTGCTTCCTGAATAACAGTAGGAATATATACATGTTGAGGAGAAATGCCAACTGTGCAACATGATGCTAATGTCAAATCACAAGCCAGAAGATATGTAGATTTGGCTAAAATTAGCAGATAGCATTTCAGTGTTTATTACCTTGACAACCTGCATAGCAGCAAGCTCGGCAGGCAAACCGCGGCAAGACTTTGCTGCCATTTCTGAAGACAGCGCATCCCATATGCCATCAGAAGCAATTATAAGCCTCCCGCCAGCATTTGATAGCTATAATCCATGATAAAGTGTAAGATTTTTATCCTGAACAAAGACCTACCAGGATGCATAGGCATTATAATCAATTATGTAAAGAAGAAGTGATTATCTGGAAACAAATTCTACCTTAACCTGTTTGACATATGGTATTGGAACTATAAACTCCCCAACATCCATGTCTCCTATTGACCTGGAAAGGCATAGACCCCCTGGCCAGCAACGAAGGGGACCAATCTACAATGGTTCAGAATTAAACATTTAAAATAAGGATAAGCTAAATGGAATGTCCTGAAACAAGATGCTAAAAAGGGGAGAGGGGGTAGAGAGACAAAAAAATAAATGAAAGAAGATCTCTTCCTTTCTTCCAATTTAGGATGAAAAGCATATAATTACAACATAATATGCTCACCTCAGCACCACCAACAATGCTAAGCCTCCCAATTTCACCTCCACTTGCAGTAACACGTTCTCTCCTGTGCAAACAGTGCAACTCAACCATGAGCATATAGAAAAAGCTAATTAACTAGGCCTTACGAGTTAAAAACATACTCTTCAATATTCTCTTCAAGTCTGTGATCAACAGTTAAGTTGTTAACAGCACCACCCTGTGTATCTAGTATACAACGGGAATCTCCAACAGATGCAACTGTCACAGTCCATTTATCCACTATCACAAACGTGGCTGTGGTTCCAGAAGTTTCTCCTGGACAAAACCAGATGAAGACTAATAAAATCAGACAAGAATAAAGATCAAATTCCCGATCCTCCTGTTCTATAGTTCCATCCTCCCAATAAGTAAATTTTTCTATTACTAAAAGAAAAATAAAAATAAAAGCCAAAGTTCACACACCTCTGCTCTGAAATTCCTTATCAGTCTTAACAAACCCAGCAACCAATGCCCGAGGTAAAGCTTGCAACCACTCCTCTCGTCCAAGCCCTCGAGGAAGAGCACCCAACACATGATTTAACAAATTCTCCCTGGTAAAAATAGCAGCAGCATTTCCATTGTGCCCATCAAAGATCTGTGAACCAGAAGAAATGAGTGACCATCTCATAGGAAGATGTGCTTCTATCCAAAGGACATTCAGTTCAGCTCACAATTCAGAATTACAATCTGAAAAGGCTGTTGCTACACCCAAGAGTAAAAAATAAAGCAAATTTTCAACCAAAAATGCAGAAATGAAAACCAGAAATCTCCTAACAGCTAGCTATTATGTCATGCAGTTCTAGAGGAGTAAATATATTCAGAAAGAGAAACAGAGAAAAATAATACCGCGAATACAGAAAAGGATGATGAAGAGTTCCTAGGCACTCGCTGACAATCAGTCTTAATTAGAAAATAATCCTCCCCTTTCTTAGACTGAGCAGCATGCCCAAACCTCACAGTGGGCTTCTCCATCTTCTCACTCTTCATCTCTCTCTTGAGCAACGCAGCAAGAGGCACAAGATCATGATGATGCCCCCTCCCTTCACCAGAGGCCATATCTAACCCCACCAAAGAAACTTCCTCTCAGACCAAGTTACTCAATTTAAAAAAGCTCTCTTTCTCATAAGCATATTAGACCTTCAAACGTAGAACACATAAACGGGCACCCAAATCAATACAGAAGCACTCCTTCCACAAAGTCAACACTTTTTGGCATAAAAACACAGACTTTATCCCAACTTGCTCTGCATTCATCACAAACAAAGTTGTCAATACAGGATCAAACAATTACCACTAATCTCCAGCAACAACCAGATAAAACATATAACTCTAAAGTGCAGATGCAAATTTTTACAATGTATTATGCATATTATCATTGCATAATGCAATTTTTTTACCCAAAAAAGAAGTGAGATACTTGAAGCTGGGTTCTCAGGTTCACAGCAGGCAAAACAGAGAACACAGATTCCAAGCAGAAAGGAAACAAAGTAGGTGAATTACCAGCGAGAAATCCTGGATGTGCACCCCGCGCAAAACCATATGCAGATCTGACTGCTACGCTAAACAAACATGCGTAGAAGAAGAGAGGAAGATATCAATACGTATACGAAACGCGTATTGATGACTAAGTATGAACTGTTAAACCCAATAATCTAAACCCATAATCTTCCATTAAAAAATAAGAAGCACCCAGTTTCTAAAGAGAGAGAGAGAGGGAAGAGATTGATTGATTGATTATAAACTTAAAAAAATGGGAAAACAAAAAAGAATAAAAAAAAATTTAGGACCAACCCAAGTCAGCTCCAAGACAATTTTCCTCCACCAAAAACTGAAACAAAGATTTCACCTTTCACACGTTGATTCCGCTCCTGAACCAAAAAGAATAACAATAAAGCAAATGCTGCTGGCGTGGTAGCTTAGGATCAAGCTAGCTTCCATATCATACAGGGAAGAAAGAAAGTGGCTTTGCTGACTTATAAAGCCTTGCTTGCAAATACCCACATTATGTTTCAGTTAAAAGTCGGTATCTTTAGCCTTTTTTTCTCTCTCAAAGTTTCCTTCCTCCATAGGAAAAAAAAAATGCAACCCCATTTTACTACTTTCCGGGAAAAATGAGTAAATTATAGTGTGAGCAAGGAGTGACAACTGGAGAAACAGATTCTAGCAATTCAGCGTGAAACTAAGATGGACATGCAGGAGACCTATTTTCCGTCAGAACAAGAACACAAGAACAAGAACAAGACCAATTTACCTCATTGGATTAGGACAAAGAACAAGGAAATTGAATCAAGAAAACAAAACAAACATTTCTGTGAGTAAACAAAAAAATAAAAATTGAGAGGGAGTTAGTGGGGACCATAGGAAATTGTGTGCAAGAAACAAACAGGTTTTTGAGGTGAAATAAATAAAGAAATGTTAATATAGGAATTGGTGAATGGAAAGAGACACGTGTTGGAAGGGTTTTGCATGTGTTTCTGGGATGGCAATGATGTTGACAACGATGCCTTGTTGTTTTATTGAGAGAGAGAGAGAGAGAGAGAGAGAGAGAGTGCGCTGCAGCTTTGCACACCTCACTGGACCCCTCCTTACTTTTTCTGTACTGTACCCTCTTCGCATCCCAAATCCAATACATTAATTATTTTATATTAAATACTTAATTTAATTTTTTTTACTTTTTTTATTAAGGAGTTTGGTTGAGGAGAAACTTTTGAATATTAAGAAAATATAATTGATAGATAAATGGTTGGAAAGTGAGTTTGGTTTGAGGTAAAATATAGATGAGAAAATAACTTCAAATTATAAATATAACCCCATAAAAAAAGTGAAACCTTGGCACTTTAGATGAGGGTATTTAAGTCTACTAGTGGGTTGCTCTTTTGCCATTTAGCTAGCTAAATGTAAAATACTACATTCAAGTTGTCTTTCTAAATAGTAACTTTGTCTTGCTTTCTATGAACAAATAAGGAATGCTATGCAAATACAATACCTAAAATTTTTTTGTAAAACCTTCTACCAAACATTGTTTTCTTACTTTGTCAATTTGATTTATATAGGTAAATTTTAAGAAATCTTTAACCAAACACCACCTGATTAACTAATATTGCCTATCTTGTATTTTCTACGCAGCTATGTTTTTTTCTCTCCGCCACTGTTCTTGTCAAGACAAGGTCGGAATTTTAAAGCATCCAGCCAATGAATATCTTTTTTTTTTTTGGTAAAAATGAATATCTTTTAAACTACACTCTTTTATTTTTAATATGTTTATTACACTTTGTATAAAATTTTTAAGGGGAAATGTTTTCGTGTAAAATTTTTTTATCTGTTATAGAGAAAAAAAAATGAAATTTTTTAGTTACCATTTTTTTAAATTCTTTTTTTTGTGGTGGATAAAAAATTTCTGCAACAAATGTAGAATTTTTTTTTTTAACAATGTTTATAAATATGTTTATGATATAAATTCAAGCTATAAGTGTAAAAACAATTATTACTATTATATAATTATTTATTAAAATATTAACATATTATAACTATTATCATAATTAAATTTATTAGATCATATATCAACCCAATGTTAAATAATAGTATAAAAAATTCACATACTACATTAAAATTAAACTCTAAATTCATATTTATATATTTTTTAACTGAAAATTAATCCCATAAAATATAAGAAATATGATAAAGTTATCCCAAAAGTGGCGTGTCTGTGACTTCAATTTTTATTAGTGCATAAGATTCGGTCATGATTAGGCTCTCAATCAGGAATGGGAAAATTTGATATTTTTTATTTTTTAATATTAACTGGTGTTTGAAGTCTTAAACAGCGCATTTAATTTGATTGGGCAAATTAAATTTTAAAATTTCATTATATCGTCACTGGACTAATAATTATTGAGTAATATTTCTATTTCTATTATTAATATGCTTCAATTTTAGTATCATATTATTTTAATAACATCAACTCATGATTAAATCCAATAGTGATGACGAACTTGTATCTACTCATATCATAAGTTAATTTCTTATTATGTTCTCTCGTTTTAAATTCTCAAGTTATTTTTTAATTAAAAAAACTATGTCTGAAAATTTTAAGATAAAATTAAAAATATATATAATTTTAATATTTTAAAGAAAGGTTTGATGTTTGTCATTTTAAATGACATAAGTTATATCATTTTAGGAGAGAGATAGACACAAGAAATGAAAATCATAGGAGAAAAAGTGGGTGATTTTTTTTAATTTAAATTTTAAATGAAAAAATAATTTCTTATGTCTATCTCTCTCCTAAAATGATATAATTTTGTGTCATTTAAGATGACAAATACTTTTCCCTTTAAAAAATTTGAAAAATAACGATAACATAATTCTAGTTTCAAAACATGTTTTTTTTTTTTTGGTAAGCAAAAGCATACTTATTTTATTAAGAAGTTGTGGGGGGAGGGGGGATTATAAATTCATTAAATTTAACGCAAAAAAATTAACCTTTAAAATAAATATATTAAATCGTATTTGCGTTCAATTCTAATACAATATATTTATTTTGATCAAACCGGTTTAATCCGATTCCAACAATTCATATTCAGAGCAGTTCATTTTAACATTATTATTTTTTTATTTAAAGGATTTAAATATAATATTTTGGATTAAATCAATAAACATTTTATTACTTTAACCAATATTTATTAGGGAAAAAATATCTAATATTTTTTTAGACAATTTTGCATAATATTCACTGAAATGACGTTATTTTAGAGTTAAAAAATTAGAAAGATAAAATTTATTATAATCCTGAAATAAATTAAAATTATAAATATACCTGTTTAATCCAATTTAAATATAATATTTTGATTAAATTAATAAATATTTCATCACTTTAACCAATATTTATTAGGAAAAAATTATCTAACATTACTTTAGAATATATTATCTAATATTCATCGAAATTACATCATTTTCTAGTTGAAAAATTAAAAAATTAAAATTATAAAGACTATTATAATCTTAAAATAAATTAAAATTACCAATACATCATGATTTCTACCAAAAAATAATGTTGTTTCGATAAATATTAGACAAAATTATCCAATAATTTTTAAAAAAATCAACCTTATTTATTAATAATATATTTTGTTTTCAGTTACGCTTGAAAGTGTATTTATATTTTACAGTAGGGATAACAGTTACCCATAAGCCATGAAATAATAATTTTTGGTTAAATATTCTTTTTGGTCCTCAGTAAATTTTATGATGCATACTTATGCTTTAGTTCCTAACAAATAAAAAGGCTATTTATGGTCTCTAAGAAATTCAAAATGGACTTATTTAGTTGAAATTATGATCCTTCACAAATTCAAAAAAGACCCACATTAATCCCTCAAAAAGATTAAAATAGATTCACTTTGAATTCTTTAGGAACCACGAATAACATTTTTATTTATTAAGGACTAAAATAAATATCGTAAAATTTGATGAAGAACAAAAAAGATATTTACTCATAATTTTTTAACAAGTTAACCAGTTGACCCCAGCCAAAATTAAAAGAGAAATATTAGGTGGGCTTTTGTGTATCACACATATAAACTTTTAATAAACTACAACCATCATTGCTGGACAACCATGACATTGCCATACAACTGTCATTATTATTCAATTACCGAATTTATTCCTTTTTATATTCTCAATCATTTTCCAAGAATTTTTTTTTTGCCTAAAATTCGTAATTTTAGTTCAGAGATAATTGATGCCCGAGAGACACAAACGCATGTTAGGATATACCTTATTACCATAATTAAGCCCAAGAAAATATGAAATTGTTTATGCTGAACCTTGACCAGCCAAGTTTTATACAGAAATAATTTATTGCTATTTTTTTCATATTGACATAAATGTGTCGCTATTATTGTTTTTCCTTTTTTCATGCAGCAATATTTACATTAATTGCCTTTATTTATAATTTATTTTTACCATTATTATGTTGATAGCATCATATATAGAAGGAATTCATATTTCATCACAGCTTATCCTTTACACTTATTAATTATTGAATGAAATGTTGATTACATAATTATATTAAATTAGAATACAAGACCTTAAGTTAATGGGAAAAATGTTTCTGCAGTTAATGCAGATAAGTTATCTGTATTTATTCTCAAAATGACGTCGTTTTGGTATTGAAATCTTAAAAAATTATAAATATAAAGACTATTATAACTCTGAAATAAATTAAAATTACAAAAATACCATGATTTCTGCCCCAAAACGACGTCGTATTGGCTTACTGTAGATAACTTATCTGCAGTAACTGCAGAAAAAACGAACCCTAAATTAATACTTTAATAAGTTTTCTTGTTTAATTTTTTAAATTATATATATCTTATTTATAGACTTGAAAATATTATTTTAATTTTTTTATATTTTATCTTGATTTAAAAAGATCCATATATAATAGATGAAATACATGGTGGTATCTTGTCAACAACGATACGGGGCTAAGAACCCAGCTAGCAGGGAAAACTACGTGGGAATCGTACACTCCTCAGGTAGTGTTTGGTTGGGGAGAAGTTAAAATTTTGGTGGCAAAGTACATGTGGGAATCTGACCCAACCACGTTTGGTTGAAGTTTTGTGAAAAATTTCCCCAGCAAACAAGTTTCCCTGCAATCCAAGAAGAAGTGTAAAAATTTGATATCCACACTGTTGAAGAAGCCGATTGAAAAGGTGGTATTGGTTGAGGGTATCAGATAAGTGAAAAAGGTTGAAAATGGTATGACAAATATACCCCTCTTTCTTAACCACATGTTCACAAGGGTTATTTCAAATAAGGGTTATTTTGTAATTTTTCTAAATTTATTCATCAATATTTTATCTCCAACCAAACACACTTTCAAAAATTTTACTCAATTTTTCCGGTAAAATCTTGTCCAACCAAACAACTTTTTTTTAACTTTCCTACCAAACTCACTTTCCAACGTCTTTCTTAGTAAAGACAACTACCCACTTTAAAAAAATTTCTCCTCAACCAAACACTACCTCAGGGTATCCATCACAATCTCAGCATAAAGGCGTATGTGTAGGTAAGGGTGTCAACATAGGTTATCACACGCGGGTCGACTCGCGACACGATACGAAAATTCGTGTTTAGATTAATCTGCAAAAAAAATTGTGTCGTGTTCGTGTTGGGAAAAATGACACGTGAAAAATTCGTGTCGTGTTTGTGTTGATGTATTCGTATTTGTGTTGACCCATATTTTTTTATTATTATTTTTTACTATTTTTATTATTTTTTAATTTTTTTTAAATTTCTACCCATTTTTTTAAATTTTTTTTGTCAATTACCGTTTTGACCCC